TTCTGCAGTCTATTAGCTAACACTTTAGTGATAAGCTTGAGGGAGGTGTTGAGAAGGGAGATTGGTCTGTAATCTGCAGCCGTGGAAGGACCATCTTTCTTGGGAATGAGTGTTATGTGTGAGGAGTTAATACTTCTAAGACAAATGTCTTCATCAAAAAAAGCTTCAAACAATATGCAAAAATCAAGAGCAATTAGGGACCAGCAGCCTTTGATGAATTCATTATTATAACCATCTGGTTCTGGTGACTTGTTGTTTGGTAGTTCACTTATGACACTGTCAATTTCTTGTTTGCTGAAAGGAGCTTGTAGTTCATTCAGTTCTTCATTTCTGGTTATAAGGACATTCAGATTATAGAGCATCTCCTTGAATTCAGTCTTTCCTAATCTGTCCTTGAAGCTTTCCCACAAAATTTTGGCTTTACCATCATGATCTGTTATGTTATCTCCTGAATCATCTTGTAGACATGCAATAGTGTTCTTCCTGTGTCTGATGGTTGCATGTGCATAGAAGTATTTAGTGCTTGCATCTCCTTCTTTCACCCAATTAATTTTGCCCCTTTGCTTCCAGTATCTTCTCTGTTGTCTGAGTAAGGAGACCAGCTTTGAACTTAAAATTTCCCTAAAATTCCATTCAATCAGAGAGAGGTCTCTGAAGCATTCTATCGAATCCAAAGACTGTAGGATCAGTTTGGCATTTTCGATGAGCTTGGATAATGGTGGTGTCCTTGCATTCCAATATTTTAGTACTTTTCTTAGGTTTTTGCATTTGGCCGTTAAGGCTTTTGCTGGATCATTGGGTAGGTATGGTGTAGACCACCCCCGTACTATTGTTGTGGTAAAATCATCTATGTCCAACAAGTGGTTCTCAAATATGAAGATATGGCCCTTTGGGATTTTGGTGCTAATTTCAATGATACACGGCCAATGATCTGATGTTTCCATTGTCATAGACCTCACTGTTGTGTTTGGGTATTTTTCTGCCACAAATTTTTGCCTAACATTTGTGGTAGCAATCCAAACACTTGCTATGCAACTTTTGCCAGAAGTAACCATAGGCATGGCTGGTAACCAAACACATCTACTTTGCTATAAAGTTAGACAAGGCCCAAGTGTGGCTAATGACTAAGGTTAGACATGGCAAATTTAGTGAGCAACCAAACATGCCCTAGGTCCATAACAAAAACAATACCATGAGTGGGGCTACTGTAGTGTGGTATGATCGACTGTACAATATTATTGGGCTTCCTAAAATGAGATATCATCAGAAGTAACCATAGGCATGGCTGGTAACCAAACACATCTACTTTGCTATAAAGTTAGACAAGGCCCAAGTGTGGCTAATGACTAAGGTTAGACATGGCAAATTTAGTGAGCAACCAAACATGCCCTAGGTCCATAACAAAAACAATACCATGAGTGGGGCTACTGTAGTGTGGTATGATCGACTGTACAATATTATTGGGCTTCCTAAAATGAGATATCATATGAGGTAAAATAACATCCCAACCAAAAAGAGGAAAAGCGAAAATGTTCGGAAAAAAAACAGCCACATCGTTTTCGTCTCATTTCAGATTTAGCAAAAACGGAAAAAGAAGAATCTGTATTTGGTGTTTTGACGTTAAGTGAATGGATTTCACACCTATATCTCACCAAAATATGCCGTCCCCGGCCAGAATCCTTATGTACAAAACATACTCCAGATTGTTTTGCCTCCGATTGAACGTCGGGTCTGACACAAAGTTTTAAATCTCCGGCTATAGCTGCAGCTATAGCCGAAGATAGCTGCTGGGGATGAAAGCAGCTAAGCGATGCAGTTTTTTGCGCTAAGAAAAGCGGGGCGCTAATAGCGTCGTTTAGCCGGCAATAGCCGCTAAACTGGCCTTAATTTAGCGCAGCTAAATTGTGAAACGCGTCCGGCTAAAATTTTGGCAGCCTACAAAATTGACGCAGCACGGCCCAGCTTGAGTCCCAGCCCACCCCCATCCCGTAACCCTAACACTCGGTCACTCACTCATTCCACTTCCACCCACGAGCGTCGGTCTCTCTCGGTCTCGGAAAAAAAAGAGCACGCGGCGGCGGCGGCTTCTCTTCCGGCGGGCGGGCCGGAGACGGCCGTGCGGCCTGGCCGCGCTCCCAAGCAGTGGCTTCTGCATGCGCTTCTCCTCCTTCCTAAGACTGCTGTGGCAGCGCGGTCCCTGGACAAGCGGCGGCGGCGGCGGCCAACAGGAACGGCGGCGCGCGGCGGCTCCAGCACGAGCAGTGCCCACGGTGTGCAGCGCGAGCGTCGGCGCAGGCAGCACAAGCAGCACACTCCCGTTCTTTGTCTTCCCCAACTCGGTTCTTCATCTTCCCCATCCCGGCATCGGCGGCGGAGGCAGCACGAGCGACGGCGACAACATTCCGGTTATCTTCTTCCCTAATCCCAAGCAGCAGCACCAACACCTTGGCAGATCTGTGTTTTTTTTTTAATTTTGCAAAAACAGCTAAATGTCTTAGCTGCAGATATCTCCGGCGATAGCTGCATTTAGCTGGTAAGAAGGGCAGCAGCTAAAGAGCTTAGCCGAAGATTTAAACCTTGGTCTTACCTCCTAGAACCGCAGCAGCATTATGACCAAGTTCAGCACTACTCCAACAAGTGCAACGAGGACGATGTATATGTAGGTTCAGAGAGCTGAGACGTGACGCTGCATGCCAGTTTTGCCTCCAGTTGAACGTCGGTTCTTACCTAGAACCGCAGCAGCATTATGACCAAGTTCAGCAGTCCTCCAACAAGTGCAGTGAGAGCGATGTATGTAGGTCCAGAGAGCTGAGATGCGACGCTGAATGTCAAGAGCGTAACAGCTGAACAAGATACCAGCCGGAAGGCCAACTGGAGACGAGCCAACGATCTGGACAGCATCCCGATGTACAAGTCGATGGTGATGGTCCCCAGGCCTCAAAAACTTATGAGCTTGACGTGATCAGGAGCGTCCTTTAACGCAGAGTATGACGTGGCGCACAGAGCTAGGAATGCGGGATAAGTTTGGCAAAAAAAAAATGCCTGAGCATTTTGGCAACCTCCTCCACGTGCAAGGTGTAGAGGAAGAAAGTTTTTTAGGCGGGAAAAGCGATTTAGTGTATTTTTATTTGAGCGAAAAAAAACTTGGTGTAAGTTAAGCGTTTCTTTTATAGATGTGCCAAATTAAAGGATATAAAACCGCAGCAGGCATTATGACACCAAGTTCAGCATTACTCCAACAAGTAGTGAGAACGATGTATATATGTAGGTTCAAAGAGCTGAGACGCAATTGAACGTCGGTTCTTACCTAGAACCGCAACAGCATTATGACCAAGTTCAGCACTACTCCAACAAGTGCAACGAGGACGATGTATATGTAGGTTCAGAGAGATGAGACGCGACGCTGAATGCCAGTTTTGCCTCCAATTGAACGTCGGCTCTTACCTAGAACCGCAGCAGCATTATGAACAAGTTCATCAGTCCTCCAGCAATTGCAGTGAGAGTGATGTATGTAGGTCCAGAGAGCTGAGATGCGACGCTGAATGTCAAGAGCGTAACAGCTGAACACGATACCAGCCGGAAAGGCCAACTGGCGACGAGCGAACGATTTGGACAACATCCCGGCTAACAAGACGATGCACATGATCACCAGGCCTCCAAAAATTATGAACTTGACATGATCAGGAGCGTCCTTTAACACAGGGTACGCCATGGCGCACGCAGGTTGGAGTGCGGCATAAGCTTGGCAAAAAATATTTATCAGCATTTTGTCAATCTCCTCCTGTAAGGTATAAAGGAAGAAACTTTTTTAGGCGGGAAAAGAGAACGAAAAACAAGTTGGTGTAAGTTAAACGTTTTTTATAGAAGAAGAAGAAGAAGAAGAAGAAGAAGAAGAAGAAGAAACGCATTAGGTACGACTAGGAGGTGAATTTGAGTGTACTGTAAACAAACGCATTAGGGTGCCGCACAAGTGATGGGATGAGGACATGAACAATTTTATTTTAGAAACAATTTATCTTTACAATGATATTTTAATTAACATATACAGTAGATATATTGTTGCTACTATTCAATGGGCTCCCTGTTCTAGCGTAGCCTCGTCCTTGACTCCTTAGCTTGTGGTTGGTATATACTCTATATAGATGTGCCAAACTAAAGGACAAAGGCGATGGAAGAGGGAGCAAGAATTTACATTTACCGACGGTTGTTGAGCTGGAGCGGCACCACCATCAGCTTGTTCGGTGATATATATAACTTTTGCTAAGCATCCAGATATACACTATGTCTACATAATAAAAAGTATCTAGAAAATATAATTATTCGCTGCAACAGAACATATAACTTGTTGTATAGTCACCTAGATTATTTGTGGCTCAGAAGATTTATTCAACGACCATTATCTGTTCCAATATGTCTTCAAATGGAACTCCATACCAACGCTACTCTACACTGTTGTGAGCTGTTCTAACTTCATTATGAGTATAAAGTCGTGAGTTTGGACCAAGAACAAGAAACAGGGCGTGAGTGCATTGTGGTAAGTAAAAAAGAGACAAACAAAACATAAATTCTACCTAGAGGTAGGCCTGAGCAATCTAAGCACATACTGAGTGAGTCTGATGGGTTTTGGCCTGCCCCACGAGCCTTAGTGGACAGGGCCTGGACACAGATCCTGCTGCGTAGAAATTTTTTTGTCAACCTGAACCTGGTCCAAAATATTTATTTTAGTAGTTTTCCTTAGAAACTGCCCGGCCGTCCCGCGTAGACCCGGCCTAAAAAACAAGCCCGACTCCTCTGGTGGGGATGGTCATACGCGGGATTATTTTTGCCCAAATAATAGGGCTTTTCTTTGGCCAGGCCTGACCCGTAAAACGTTCAAGTCTATGTAGAGGGATAGATGATAAAGATAAATATTTAATTTTCTTCGGTATCCACATACTCGGATTATGGGTTCGGGCCAGACGTCCCACTACTGAGCTCAGGCAGACCTTTGTGGAGGCCCGATGAGGGAATTTGGTGGACCACAACACAAGCAGTTGCATAAACCTCTTTCCCCTCCTTCAATCTCAATCTCCGCCACGCCACCACAAATGTCTCGGCAGGCCGCCGCCCGCCCCGCGGTAGCGCGCTCCGTGCGCCGCCCCTCCTCCCCCTCCCGCAAAAGGCCCTCCTCCTCCTCTTCCTCCAGCAGCAGCAACGACTCCTTCGACGTGCTGGTGGACGACCCGATGGAGGAGCAGATCGAGGCGGAGATCGTGTCCCACCTCTTCCGCGGCGCCGCCCCGGAGGCGTACCGCCAGGCGGTCGCGCAGCAGGAGGCGCTGCGGGCGAAGAAGGCGGCGCTGCAGCGCGAGGTGGCGGAGAGCCGGGCGCAGGTGCGGCGGCTCAGGGCGTACACGGACCTGCTCAAGACCGACGTGTCCGGTTACACGGAGGCGCAGGTGGGGGAGTACCAGCCGGAGCTCCAACGCCGGAGCAAAGAGTGCTTCGGTAAATAAAAAAAAGTAGGTGTACCAGTCTGCACTCTGTTGGTGCTGGATTGAGTTGCCTGGAATCCTCTAGATTTGGGTATTAGTAATTCAGTTGGCAGTAATCCGTATGCAGCTATGAATGATTCTGTTAGAGTAGAACTTAGCTGCTGTTCCATGAGCGGAGGGATCTAAGTTGATTCTAAAGTCGTTTTAGGATTGTTCGGGTCACTGGTACTCCGTAATGATCAAATTACCTACTTTGAGCATTTATGGCGGCAACACAAATTTGGGAGTTTGCCAGAATTGGGACCGAGTTTCAGTTCAGACATATAATTCAGTACAGCTCAACTGAGGAGCAACTGTGAGTCCAGTTCCCGGCGAGACGCATAGTCAGTCCAGTTCATAATTGATAGCCATCCAAGCCGAGAGTTTGGCCGCTCATGTAGATTTGTGTATTATTCAGCCAACTGGTAGCGATCTAGTAGATTTCTGTATTATAATTCAGTACGTGGTAATCGTTATGCAGCTATGAATGTTTCAACTTAGCTGCTCCATCAGCAGAGGGATCTCGTTGATTCTAAAATCGTTTTGAAGATTGCTGGTGGCACACAGCAGCAGCATAAACTCGGGAGTTGCGTTGGGTTGGGACTGAGCTTCAGTTCAGACATTCAAACTTGTTCGCTTGTTGGTTTCGATCGAGAACTTATTAGCTATGAGTGCGATATTTTCCTCTCACAACAAACCAACACCGATTCCGGGCTTATCAGCCCAGAAACCAACCAACGAATAGGCTGATTGAATAGTTCATGGTTGTCAATTGTCATCAGCGCAATTGCGGAGCAAACGTCGCCACGGTTGTGCATTTTGATATTGCCAACTCCTGGTCAGATGCACATTGCACAATCCAGTTCAGTGACTTCAGTCCATACTTGATAGCCGTCCAATGCTACCGCTGCAGCAAGGTCGTTTGCAGGCTTGCAGGACGATGGTGGTATTTTTTTTAAAAAAAAACAAAGATAGGAGCTCTACCGTTGAATTAAGATGAAAGAATTTACGTACAAAAAGGCTAGCCGGACATGATGCCATACAGGGCATCTGGGGGGCTAACCAACCCACGCGATGCGAGCACAAACACACTGCCATGGGTCATTGTTGCCGAGCATCCAGTAGCCCCGACTTCCCATGGCAAGCCACCCACCGATGGCTCGAAGCAAACGGCCGCAACGGTCATCGTTGCCAAGCTCAAACCCTCGAAGAGCAGCTCCAACTTCCAATCACAAACCCACGCCTCGCCCCCAGCGGTTGTAGCCCCCCAGCAGACCCCGGCTTATGATGAAGGGGGCTCGCCACGTGTCATCATTGCTGAGCCATGTCCCCGACGCAGCTGCTCTAACTTCACGTTGCAAATCCCGCCTCCATGCGTCAACCAAGCGCCAAGAAGCAAGAGTAACCGCCAAAAGAGACATCGAAGCCACGAAGATAATTCAAATGTGACACCTTCAGGAAAGGAGCAACGCTGATGGTGCCACCGCCATACGTCCAAAGTGGACCGGATTTTCACCCTTGGATGACATTGCTAGAGGGGAAACACGATGCCCCCAATAGGGAAAGCGGCACCCACCGGCATCGCCATCGCCAATGCTTTCGCCGATGGAGCCCTCTAGCACGAGCGTCGGCCCAAGAAGCCGAGCCCCCGCGTCGCACCCCCACGCGAGGCAACTCGGGCGGCCCTCCCCAGCCCCAGCCACCGCCCTCCACCTTCTTCCCCTCCATAGTGTAGCACCCGATTTTAGGAACAAAACCAGATACACACCATATGTGAGCCTAGGAAGTCAAATCTCACATATATCTACATATAAGGGTAATATAAATAGACAATGCATAATATATGACATCTTAGTATAAAGAATACAACCTTAGATAGTAGACAGCGGAAAGACTCTACATTCTTCAGGTGAAAGCTCCAAATCCACAGGGATAACTTACTGGTTGATCACAAGCCTAATTCTTCCAAACTCTAGCAATCTGGTACCCATCCGGGATTTTTTAAATATTTGAAAAGTAAAAGCGTAAGTACATGTCGTACTCAACAAATATAACATGGGGTTCATGAGGCTCAAAAGGATGACATTGGTTTACTGCGGTTAGCTTTTAATGAGTCATTATTTTAGCAATTGAGTAGCAACAAGTTTATTCACAAGCCCACATAAACACATGATCATGTAAACATAAATAATGAATAGCATAAACAATTAACCATTAATGGTCATCTATTCCGTAAGAGTTCCAAGGCCGCTCGTGACAATGAGCACGGCTGTTATAACAGTTTTACACTCTACAGAGGTTGTACACTTTCACCATGAGCCGTGATTTACCCTTTCGCACGAGGTTCACCTCTTGACCCACTACCAAGGAAGGTCGGTAGGGTTCACTATGAAGCCTTTCAAAGGTTAAATCTAACAAGTTAGGACCGCTAGGATTCCAATTGACAAACAGATGTAGAGCTTCCTTCCCGGTGGCACAATTCCTCGCAGGCTATACACAAGGGGACTGAGGCAGCACTATACCTGATTCGGCAAGCCCTTTTAGCCATAAAGGTAACCACTAACAAGCTAGAAAAGGTCCTCATACTTGACTAAAGGCGAGCCATGTGGCATTCATGGTTGTCTTTGTAAGTCCCAGTTGACCACTTACAGATAAGTCCTTAGGGAGAGAAATCTAGAGCATCACAAAAACTATGCTCTAGCCCCCTTGTTCCTTGTTGCTAAAAAGCATCTTTTATTGTTTATTGCATAATCCATTAGTCAAGTTACAAGATCATGGTCTTAGTTTGAGCACTAGCATCATACTGCCCAAGGAATAAACCCATAGGAATCAAGGTACAAGGTAACAAAGTATTAGGAAATCCTTAGTGGTAGTCAAGGTAGACACATGTAGTATGAATTAAATAATTAAAGGTGTATAGATCAATAAGGATGATCCCATGCTATACTTGCCTTAAACTCAGATCCTTCTTCTACTAAATTGTAATATCCAAAGGACTTCTTCTGGATCACCAACTTCTTCTATATCATCAACGTATTTCTCACCGACTGGACAAGATCATAAAGCACCACACAAGCATCTATACAGACATGCATCACATACAAATAGGACTAAATTAGAACAATACACCAATCAATAAAAAGGTTTGAGAACTAATCCACGTATCGCTACGAACACACAGACGCGAAAAGCACTCTAATAGAAGCTACGGCGCACAAGAAACGTCTACCGTAAGATTTACTTCTTAAGAGAAAAGAAAGTTTTAATCTTCATTTATTTTAAACATGTATAAGATATTTTCATAGAAGTATCTAAATTGGATTAGGCCAAATTATATCTGATTTGGAAAAATAAGATGGATCTAATCTTATTTTTACTTGAAAAGATCGAAGTAGAAAATGTAAGTTGCTTTTCATTGGAAAACTAATTGCATATAAAATGATTAGATTAATATTTAATTTTAAAGCACAAAACATGTTAAACATGGTTACCATCACATAGATTACGTCATTACGAATCTAACACAACTTGAACGGGTCAAAACGGAGTTAAAATGGATATTTTATGGGTAAAACAAGATCAGTGGCAAATCTGTAAATAAAGAAAACGTATTTTGAATCTGATAGAGGGAAACTACGCTTTCAGAAAGAGAAAACCTATTTTGAAGTATAAGTTATGGACTACGGGTTGAATTACTGGAAAAGGGAGGGGCTCTTTAGCAAGATGGTCGGCGAAGGGGTATGGGTTAATCTGGGCCGTCGGATCGAGATTGGACAATCTAGATTAGATCGGAGAGAGAGTGAGAGAGAGAGAGACGTCGACGGTGGTTTCAGTCGGCGGCGCCATGGCCAGAATCGGACCGACCTCGCCGGAGTTCATCGATATGGCGACTCTGCGTATCATTGGTCCAAATAAAAGCACAGGGAGGGAGAGAGGAGTACGGCGAACTCGTCTAGGGGATCGGGACGAGCCGCGTGAGTTTGAGGGCGGCGCTATGCTTGGTTTGGCGGCTCGATCTCGCCAAATGATGTCTCGGCAACTACGTGCGGCGATGCAAAGCAAGAGAAAGCAAGAGCGAGGCACCGTGAGCCCACTTACCGACTTTCGAGGCTCGGCAAGTAGCTCAACGCGACTCACGGCCGGCGGTGAGGCGGATCAAAAGCAGCGGCGGCTTTTTAGGGTTTCAATCGGCGGCGGCGGAGCTCCAAGGCACGAGGGCTGCTGCGAGCTCGGCTGAATGGACCTTGGCGGGTGCAGGGGGTCGCTATTTAAGAGGCCCTCGGCGTCTTGGTCAAGCCAACCGGAGAAGACGGCGCTGAGGCGGACTCCGGTGGCGGTGTCCGTGTTGGACCTGTTTGGAGGAGGGAGAAAACAGCAGACATGCCTTGGCCTGACTGGCAAATGAGATAGGGAGCGGGTCTCGGTTGGCGGTCAGACAGAGAGAGGAAGGGAGCGACAGCTGTGACTTCAGCTGGGCCTCGGCCTGCTGGGCTTGGGCCTTCGAAACTGGCTGCGTGAGAAAGGGAAGGGAGCACTAGGCGAGAGTGGCGTGCCGGGCCCACGGAGAGGAGAGCTGGAGCGGGCCGTGGAAGAGGGGAGAGAAAGGCCTACGGGCGAAATGAGAGAGGGAGATTTTCTCCTTTTATTTTTTTTTTTTTTTTTTATTTCAAAGCCATTTTCAAATACGATTTTAAATCTATTTGAATTTGAGTCAAAACCTATCGAGTACAAAAACAAAAGTGCACCAAAGATGAATGCACAACAATGTTACTAACCTTATGATGAGTTTTAATTTAATAAAAATATTATTTCCCTATGTTTTCATGAGCACAAAATACATAATTAAATTATTTTAACTCTATTTCAAAAGGGCAAATTTTAGGGTGTTACACATAGCCACGTCGTCATTTGGAGTAGGCCACGGTGGGAGCCTTGCGGCTCGTTGGGATGGCGGCAGCAGGCTTCTCCTTGCGACTTCGGTG